TCCTAGGAATAGCACCGTGTCTCCTCACCAGTAATGACCTTGGAGAAAAGTCTGGGTCACTTCAGAGCTGTTCTTTCAAAGCACGGCATGTTTCCAGTCGAGGGTCTTTGTCCTGGTCAGGCAGAAGCCAAAACACAACTTTTGCAGCGGCCCTTCTCATTCCCAAATCTTCCATTAAAATCTCTGAACCGAGCTCCACAATAGTCCAGATAACTTCCCCATCTCTTTAATGGTCGTCGTCAGTCTTTGAGGGCAAATACGCAAACCTTGTCAACATTTTTGTTCCTTCAGAAAGTTGATGAACATCCAGAACTAGGTTTGTCATCAATCAACATTTCACCTTTTTAGAAAAGAGAAAACCACTCGTACCCTTGACTTTTCCCCTACCGCTGTCCTTGTAAGCTGTGTCCACATCTCAACAGTTTCTGTGGCATTTTCCCTGCGCAGGAAACAAAATTTTATAGCCTCACGCTATTCTCTTAAATTGGCCATCACAAAAAAGGAGGCTGGAGCAAAACTGCTCTTACAAAAAAATTCACTGTGACCAGAGAGAACCTTCCCAGGCAACGCCGCTGGGTGCACTAACTCAGAGTGCAAGTTGCTTGATGCTCCCCTAGCAGGAAAAATGCACACTACAAAAGCTCTCGCCCCGTTTTTTGGAGGGAGTGCATATATATATATATGCATAATTATATATATATCATTTTCATCAAACCATCTTTGCTTCCAGCAGGCAAGGTGGTATCATCTGCCCATCACATGTTGTCAATGAATCGTCCTCCAATCCTGATACCATGTTCTCCTTCATATATTGCAGCTTCTCAGGTTATTTGCTCAGCATATAGATGGAATACAACTCACTGCCATTGAGTCAATCTCAATAGAACTGTTCTAAAGCATTTCCAAGACTATGAATCTGTATGGGAGCAGTCAGCCTTATCATTCTCCTGAGAAGACGCTGATGGGTTTGAACTGTCAACCTTGCAATTAGCAGCCCAAAGCAATCAGCAGCACCACTGGGATTCCTTACAGATTGAATAGTATGGTGAAAGGATACAACCCAGACATACGCCATTACTGATTTTAAGCCATGAAACAAATATTCCGTTCTGCTCAAATGACTGCCTCTTGGTTTATGTACAGGTTCTATGTCAGTACAATTAGGTGTGCTCGAATCCCCAGTCCTCCAAATCCTATCATAATTTGTTATGATCTACATAATTGAATGCCTCTGCATGACCGATACAACACAGGTAAACATCTTTCTGGTAGTCTCTGTTTTCACCCACGATCCATGTGACATGGGCAGTGATATGCTTCATGTTCTTCGCTGAATCTGGTTTGAATTTCTGGCAGTTCTCAGTTCGCGCATGGCTACAGCCATTTTTTAAAGTGCATAGAGTATTGAGAGCTGATGCCAAAAACCTGAGTCCCGCCCAGGAAATTTGGATTTGAAAAGGCATGCCGGCCTACCCAGAATTGCTGAGAATAGGAAATTTGCATTTAAAGGAAAAACATAAAACATGCAGAGAAAAAAAGGTAACTATTTTGCTTTCTTTTTTTTTTTTGGTTTGGAGACAGCAGTTGGTTATTGGATGCATGGAGGCGGGAAAAGCCAGTGCTCAATAGCAGGTGAATAATTGTCTTTCAAATGGCATGTACAGTCAGTGCTCCAGTACCTGGAACTTTCTAGTTCAGAATCATAATGGTCATTGTAAGGCAACATTCTCAAGTGTTTGCCAGTCTGTTACACATGTGTAAGCACCCCTTAAACCAGATCTGAATGTGGATCCCAAGGGGCTAAAGGCAAGGACAGTGGGGCTGTTTTCTGTGATTCAGGCATGGCCTGCTCTTACTCTAGATCCTGAATCCTGACTGTCATCACCTGACCTCCATGTCTTGGCACTTGAGCCAGCAGCCTGTCACCTGACTTGTTGCTTTTTCATCAGTCCCTGACCCAGGGATTTGGGACTTGTCAGCCTCTACAACCTTGTGAGCGATTTCCTTGATGGTCCACCAGTTCGGTGACTGTTGCTGCGAATGACAGAACCAAGAGAAGGAGGGAGAGTGTGACAGGGAAGAAGAGGAGGGAGGGGCTGATGTGCGAGATGATGGAGTGGTGTGGTAGTTCAGAAGAGTTAGGCATTTGGGAAACCTTTCACCTCCACCCTATAGGAAGCAGCCTTGTACTGACTCTCCCAAAAGAAATGACTCGTCTAACGAGTGTAAGCAGTCTCATTTTCACAGTGGGACAGGCCCGACGTCAAGCGTCGGGTAGAGAGAACTGTTCAGATTTTTCCAACGTTATCTCCCTTAAGATCCAGGAATGATCCCAGAAATGAGATGTTTCAGCAATAAAGAAATTCCCTGAATCATGGAACGAAACCATACCCAAAGGCTTTGAGTAAATGGAGGGCAGAAAAGCAGGGTGAAGGATAGTCAGGGGGTGTGACCTTGAAATGACTCTGGGGTCACTTGTCCCTTCGGTTAGCACTTGGGGAACCATGATGGTGTAATGGTTGAGTGCTCCGCTTTTAACTGAAATGTCAGCCATTCGAACCTCCAATGACTCTGTGAGAGCAAAGGCCTGGAGACTTGCTGCTGGCCACAGGGCTATCTTGGGGAAACCATGGGGCAGTTCTCCTGCCCCAGCATCACCAGACGTCAGAATCAACTTGGGGCACAGAACAGCCCAGCGCTTAACCATCTGTGCTTAACTGTCTGCTATTCCGCTATGGCTGATAGAGACTATTTTCTGAACATTCCCAGCCTTCTACAAAGCTTCATGTACCCACCGCCCTCTAGCCCACGAGTCCTTGGCTCCATGTGAGGAGAGGAAAGACAGCGGCCAGAGGTCAGGTTCTCCCAACCTCATGACCTTGAGCATCAGTCCTCATCTGTGGACGAAGGGCAGGACCATGCACTGACCACTGCTCGGAGCTAAAGGGGAGGACAAGCTGGGCTGGCAGAAGTTCCTGAGCACTCAGTATGAGCCAGGCACCCTGCGAAGCAGGGCTGTGATCACATCTATTCCACAGATGGGGAACCAGGCCTGGCCGGGCCACTTCGCCCACGGTGCATGTTGAGGCCAAGCCAGGGCCCCAGGTTTCTCCAAGTCTGAAGCCCACGCGTTCTGCCCCGCTCCAGGGCCTGCCTCCTGGACCCAATCCAACAATTCCAGTCTGTCGGTGCCCAGTTAAGAGACGGGAGCTCACCCACCCACCCCGCCCTACCCAGGAGGGCAGACAGAGGGGCCTTACCTGGCTCTTGGACGTCCTCAACGTCCCCGGGCACCAAGTCTGAGCTCTCCTGGCTCTTTACACAGCATGCCCGGAAGACCAGTCCACACTGGTAGCCAGCCATGAGGCTGTACTCGCAGCTCTGGCCCTGAGCCTGGGCCGCCCTCCCCAGCAGACAGCAGTGGCAACATCTCTGCAAACAAGAGTGGAGAAGCTGGAGGTTTGGCCGGACTTACTGCCCCCAACAGGTCCCAGGAAGTACTGCACCCACTCCTGCCCTTTGCATAGCCCTATCCAGTGGCCGAAGGGCTCTGCCACTTACCTCCAAGAAGTGGGGCTTCATAGGGGGCCCAGGAGTTCCCCAAGGAATCTGTGCCTTAGGTGTGGTCTGGGACTCCCAGAGAAAGGAATGTGGGTCACTGGTCTGAGCCATAGGAAGGGCATGGAGCACTGAGGAGCACGGGAGCCTCGGAGCATGTTAGCAGCAGGGACACAGTGATTAGCTGTGCCCCTGCGAGTCTTCACACCCAAGCTCCTGGGACCACAGTCCCCCTGACGCCCCACAGTCCTACTTCAGTCCTTCCTAAGAGGCTCCCCTTAAAAGGACTCAGAACATTCCAGAAAGCCTGCCGTGGGAAAGTGTGGTTCTGGCTGGAGCCTCTGCGCAGGTTGATGGGGCCCCCTCTTCAGTGCTGGGAAAAGAGAGGGTGCACTTGCCAACCGGTCCACCTTTGGGCGAGCCAAGAAACACACTGGCCTCCCTGTTTCACCCAGGAAGCAGGCTGAACCTCCACCCCCAAGTGACCCTCCCTGCTCAGGCTAGCTTTTCTCCTTCATCAGGTGGCAGGAGGGATAGTCCAACTGCCACCCTGCAGGGGCAACTTTCAGAATTGGAGTCTCCAAGGTGGCAGGGCCCTGACTGGCCTGGCCAGGCCTTGGAGGCCCAGGACACCCCTCCCCGCTGGGTGGGTGGGAAAGGCCCTCAGGGCTGCTGCTAAGAGGCCACTTTGGAGTGTGGTCCGCCTAGAACTTCGGTTTCTTCTTGAGCAGGTGTGGTCATGTGATAGCCCATGATAGACCCCTGGGGAGGTGTCACTCTGAGCTCTCCCGCATGAGCCCTGGGGACCTGAAAGCTGTAGGGCTTCCAGAGGGGTCTGGAGGGGGCCTGAATAGCAACTCAGAGGACCTGCTCTGGGTTCTGTGTCCCTGCCTGAGGCCTGGGGACAGGAGCTCCTCACTGCTCACTCACCCGTCTTCCCAGGGTTGGGGGCAGTACTGGGCCTCCTGAGTACATGGGGAGGGTTGTCCAACCCCCCTGGCCAGGCACCTCCCCCGAAAACACTCACAGGGAAGGGCAGGAAGCACTGGCTGGGCTGCAGAGTCAGGGCCTGCTGGCAGGGAGGGGACACAGGGCCTGGGGGCCTCAGCCCATCGGCTGGAAGGGGCGAGGGCCTTCCAGTTGGGCAGGGGCAGGGCCAGTGGACTGGCCAGGAACAGGACCTGCCAACCGGGGGAAGGGCAGGAATGTCAGGCCTACACTGGTCCTCACCTTCACAAACATGGCCTCAGGGCTGGTGCCGGACAGCGCGTCACAACTGTCCTGCTCGTTGGCCTGGTTGATGCCGGTGGCACAGTGCAGCTCCTCCAGCTGGCTGTGGCAGCACTGCTCCTGGACCATCCTGGGGACAGACGGTCACCGCTCAAGGCTCGGTCACTCGGGGTCTCCCCTCTCCACACCCACCCAGACTCTAAGTCCTCTGTTAGAGAGAGGCAATGCAGGTGGCAGTTCCCAGTGCGAGTCAGAGAGCGGCTGCGCGGCCTGGCACAACAGTCACCCACCCACAAACTGCTCCCGAGTTCCCCAATGGAGGACAAGAGAAACTGGAACCTATGCTGGCCAGACCCCGCCCCCGCTCCACCAAGTGCAGCCCATCGGGTGGGGGGAGGAGGTGCCACATTCAGAGAGGGACGGGCAGGTGGCCCAAGGCGCAGCACCCACACCTCCCAGCTCCCCTGGGGCACCAGGGGCAAGTCCTCAGACCCCAAGGGGTCACACGCACGGGGCTGGGGAGGCTGCACCACAGCTGGCCAGAAGGAGCAGAGTGGATGGGCCCAGGGAGGGGTACGTGAGTCACAGGTGACTCCAGACCACCCTCAAAATAGCCAAAGTCTGCACAGACCAGAGGAGCTGACCGGCCTGCACCCGTCCAGGCCTCGCTCAGCTTCCCGGGGCTGCCCGAGGGGCCCGCCTCTCAGATGGCCTCCGGCTCTAGGAGGCTGCTGTTGGCCGTGCCACTGACTGGGTCCCGACTCGCAGCGGGCTGATGCGCCACAGGCCAGGGCTGGATGCGGCGGTTGTCCATACTACGTTAGCAACTGTTCCGTGGGTGTTCTCAGTGGATTTTCAGATACAGGCAGTCCCCTGCCTGCCTGAGTCTGTAAGAATTCTTAGTGTAGTGGTTACCCTTTGGGCTGCTAACCTCAAGGTCTGCAGTTCAAAACCACCAGGTGTCCTGAAGTAGAAAGATGAGGCTTTCTAATTCTGTAAACAGTTATAGTCTTTGAAACCACGGGGGCAGTTTGGCTCTGTCTTTTAGGGTCGCTGTGAGTCAGAATCAGCTGGCTGGCAGTGAGGTTTTTTAACCCCTGGTGGTGCAGTGGTTATGCATCGAGCTGCTAAACACAAGGCCAGCCATTGAAAACCACCAGCAGGTAGTACCTTGGGCTGAAGGCCTCCCAGAAGAGCCCTGGTGGCATCGTGGGTCAGGCACTGTGCTGCCAACCAAAAGGTCGGTGGTTTGAACCCACCCACCAGCTGCTCTGAGGGAGAAAAAGACTCAGAGAGTTGCAGCCTCGGAAACCCCTCGGGGCAATTCGGCTCTGTCCACAGGCTCTCTGGGCGCCAAGCAAACCGGCTCAAAGGCAGCGGGCTTTGTTTGTCTTAAACTTGTATGGAGAATCCGGGAAGGTTGAAGGAGCAGCTCCTCAGCCTCCCCTCCAGCAATCATGCACATTTTGTTTCTTTCACTGACGACCCTCCCTCCATTCACCCTTCACCACCCATCCCCCTCCCTCCCTGTGTTTCGGGGTTCCCTTCCTAAGCCTTCTGATCACTGCAACCCCGTGGATCTCCCATGATTGACCAGCAGGCTTGGTTTTTCACTTCAAAGCCCTCCCTCCACATTTTATTTGCGAAGGACTTCCCCCATCACGGTCAAGGGGCACCACCTGCTCCATAGACGACCCCCTTTGTGTAGGAGGGAACGGCCTTGCCTGCTGTGGTCAGGCCAAGACAGAGCGGCCTGCAAAACGCAGAGCCTCCTGCATCCAGCCCAGGGAAGGGAGGCTGGCTCCAGTGAGAGGAAGCTGGGGGGCGGCAGGAGGGAGAGCAGCCCATGCAGGGGGCAACCCAGTCCCCCACTCCCTTCACGGTCACCATGCGTGGGTCATACCTGCACTCTTTGGACTCCGATGTGTAGGGCAGTGAGCAATCCTTCTGCTGGGTGGCCATGCGGTGTCCATCAGTACAGCAGTTCTCCATGGACAGGTCAGCGCCCGCTGGGAGGGAGAGAAGAGGATGGTGACGGAGACATCTGGACTTACTGAGAGGAGATCAGGAGGTAGGTCATGGATCTACTTACCTATTGTTATCTACCTACCTACTTCTCACATAGCCACCTGTCTACCTATCATCTATCTGTCTGTCCACCCCTCACACTTGGTAAGGTTGTGGTGGGTGCCAGGTGCCAGTGGGGTCAGCTCTGACTCACAGCACCCCTCTGCACAACAGAACAAAGCCCCGCTGGCCCTCCGACATCCTCACAAGCACTGCTGGTGTGTGAGCCATTGTGGTCGTCTGGATTGTTGCCGTGTATCTTGTTACGGGCCTTCCTGCTTTCCTCTGCCCCTCTTTACCAAGCATGGGGTCCTTCTCCAGGGACGGCGCTCTGGACCAAGGACGACTTGGTAAAGGAGATCTGCCAAAAAGAAGCGCCTCCACGGGATGGGCTGACACAGTGGCTGCAACAATGGGCTCAAGCATCACAACGGTGAGGCTGGTGCAGGACCGGACAGCATGTCCATAGGGGTGCTGTGAGTCCGAACCAACGCAACAGTGCCTACCAACATCTATCCGCCCGTCCATCCACCTATCTATCTAGCTAGCTAGCTATCATCCCTGAGTGGTACAATCAGCTGCTCACCATAAGACTGGGGGTTCGAGTCCACTCAGAGGGACCTAGGAGGAAAGGCCTGGCAATCCACTCGTGACAAACGACCACCACTGAAGACCCTGAGGAGCCCAGTTCTACGCTGGCACATGGGTTGGAACCAACTTGTCGGCAGCTGGTTCTGTCCATGCACCTACCTACCTACCTACCTACCTGTGTATCCATCCACCCATTCATTTGGCGCCAAGTTATTTTCAAACACAGGGCCTGGTCTGTCACAGATAATCATGACTTTGTGCCTCACCCTTGACAATGATCCAAGGCTGAAACCTCCCAACCCCAGCCAACTACATTCCCCCCTCCCTGCACTCCCTTCACCCCATAATGTGCGAGAGGCACTCCCTCCACCCCCCCGCCACTCCCACCTACAGGGTCCTGACTGGCATGTGGCGGCTCCTGGGGTTTAGCAGAAAGAAGAAACGCTTGGGCTCAAATCCCAATGTCACCCCACCCAGCTCTGGGTCTCTGAGCCCCAGCTTCTCGTCTGTAAAACGGGTCTCAGTGCCCACGGCAGCCTGGCTGAGAACTAGATGAAGGTTCTGAAGCTCTGAGCACACCATCTGTCCTCAGTCAACAGCGGCTGGCCCTGGTGCTATATGAATGAAGAGGATCTGCTCCCCTTAACCCTGAGAAGTGGGGGTGCCACGGTTGTATCTCAGCATGCAGAGACCACCACCCCCCACCCCAAGTCAGAGCCAACACTTCTGAGACGCCTGCCACCAGCCCTGAAGGCTGGGACCTTTTGCCCTGAGCTGTGGGAACATCTGGGATCCATCCTAGCTGGGGAGCCTCCAGCACTTTGATCCTAGTTCCCAGCGGGCCAATAAAATATGAAGTCCTTTGCTTAGACTGAAACTTGGAATGCCTCTGGAATGCAGCTCTGGCTCCAGCCGCAAATAAGAGCCGCCTGGGGCTCTGTCCTGCTGGGATCAGCACAGAACCAGGGACAGTCAAACAAATCCCATCAGAGCGACCAAGAGGAGCCCACCAGGGATGGTGACCAGGTTGGAGTGAACCCAGGACTTGGTCAGACATCATCACCTCATTGTAGTGGACCACTTCCCTGTGCTGAACCGCTGAACTCTGGCCGCGTGGTGGGCAACATGCCCATTTTACAGATGAGGAAGCAAGAAGCTCAGAGAATCATGACAATATAGTGCTCAAGGTCATACTTCCAATTAACCAAGCTAGGGTCCAACTCAAATCCCTCTGATATCAAAGTGCCTGCTCACCCTCTCTCCCACTGCCTCCCAGACAGAGCAGAGCACCCAGAACCAACCCCAGGGACAAAACCTGGCTTCAGATATGAGTGGGCCTCACACAGGCCCAACGCTATCAGTAGAAAGTAGGTGTATAATAAATGCAGATTAAATCTGCTGCCTCGTGCTTCCACCTGGGAGGCACAAACATCCAAGACCAAGGCCCCAAGGATCTGTGGGGTTTGGGGTCTTTCAGGGCAGAGGTGGGTTTTCATAGAAATCCAGAAGCAAATTGTGGCAGGAACTGCCAGTATCAATTCCGTGTCCCCTGTGTGTCAGAGAAGAAAGCTGTGTGACATGGGGTTTGCAATGGCTGATTTTTTTAGGAAGTAGATCCCCAAATTTGGTTCTGGATAAACTCCAACCGCCCAGGGACTCCAAAAGGGACTGTGTTCCCCCAAACTAAGGTTGTCTTCGTGAAGGGGTCCATTGTCATCTCTCCCCATCCCGGGGCCTTCTTACTCACTGACACTGAGTGGTTTCTGACTCATCTCGGCCCTATAAGGCAGGGTAGAACTGACTCTGTGGGTTTACGAGGCTGTAACTCTGTATGTGAATACAAAGTCTTGTCTTTCTCCCTCAGAGTGGCTGGTGGTTTCAAACTGCTGACCTTCATTTACCAGCCCAGCATGTAAACAAGGGCTGTCAGACCAGACACAGTCTGATATCAGCAACCCCCTGCACCAGGCTTCCACCCCACTGCTTCACGGGCTCCGCACTGCGTGGAGGTCACTGACAACTGACCAGATTCAACCCAGAAGCATTTGACCCTGTTGTGAGCCACGAGGTTTGCACTGGCTAGTTTCCAGAAGTAGATGGCCAAGCCTTTCTTCCTCGTCTATCCTCGCCTGGGAGCATCAGTGAAACCTGTTCACCATGGGTCACCCCGCTGGTATTTGAAATACTGGTGGCATCACTGTGAGTATCGCAGCTGCACGTGCAAGCTACCGCAGTATGACAAACAGACAGTTGGGTAGTGGCTCACCCCTCCACCTACCACAAACACTGGTGCCTCCAAAATGTCCTAGACCCTCTTATCTCTCTACACCCTCTCAGGAGGCCTGACCTGTGCTACTGTACCTGAAGGCCTGATCTTCCCAGAGCTACACACACACACACACACACACACACACACACACACACCACTGTCACCTACACTCTGGGGGCAATACTGCTAACAAGAACAGTGATGTAAACTCCCTACGGAGCTGGGCGTGTCTCATATTTCAGATGTGTGAGACCAGTTAACCGGTGACAAAGGAAGCAAGGTCATTAAGTGGGAGCCAGACCTGGAAGTTCATCTCTAAATGCAGCCTGATCCTCAGCTGCACTAAGTAAGGCCTCTGTGACGGCAGAGAAGGAGCCGGGCGATGAAAGGACAAGGTCTGGGAAACTAGGTCCTGAACGGGTGACTGGAAATTGGCCAAATGTGCTACTTCAATAACATTTACGTTTAGTGTGGTATTTTAAATATATATATATAAAGAACAAATGCTTAATCTTGAAAAAAAGTGAAACTTCTGATAGCCGTTACTATAAAGCAAATGTTTTATTTTTGCCTTTGCTGCACTTTGTCCGGTCTTCCTTAAGAGTTTTTTCATTGTTTTATTTGTTTATGTAAGTTTGTGGCTTGCTCAGCCATTTAAATATCTTATCCTGAACTTACAAAACAAAACCAGACCAGACAGCATAGCCATTCTAGTAACTAGTGAATGACACTCTTCCCTGTATACCAAGCGCTCCTTACAGAGAAGGACTGTGTCTTAACTTCATTGTTCTGGGTTTTTAAAATCATTTTATTGGGGGCTCATACAACTCTTCACAATCCATCCATTCATCCATCCATTGTGTCAAGCACATTTGTACATTTGTTGCCATCATCATTCTCAAAACATTTGCTTTCTGCTTGAGCCCTTGGTATCAGCTCCTCATTCCCCCCAAGAATTTCTTTTTTTTTTCCTAATAATTTTATTGGGAGCTCATACAACTCTTATCACAATCCACGCATACATCAATTGTGTAAAGCACATTTGTACATTCATTCCACTCATCATTCTCAAAATATTTGCTCTCCACTTAAGCCCTTGGCATCAGCTCCTCCTTCCCCCTCCCTCCCTTGCTGCTCCCTCCTCCCTCATGAACCCTTGATAATTTATAAATTATTACTTTGTCTTACTGCGCTCAACCCAGAGTCTGAACTGTGTCACTCCGACAGCTAGTAGAAGCAGTGTCATTTCCTCCCTCATTTTGCCTCTCCTGGGCTACACGCCACCTCCAATTCTTCCTTGTCAGGAATGAAGAGCTCCGAGTGGGACATTTTTATTCATAAATAAGCCAAAGACTGTTTCGGCAGGCCAGAGCCCCACAGGGAGAGGGGCCGAGTCAGACCTGGATTCAGACAGCGGCCTGCTCTCCTGGGAGTGGTCCTGTTTACAGGGTTCTGCAGACTTTGTGTCTGGGGCAGGATTATTTCCTTTAGAGTCAGATTCGGTGTCAGGTCAGTGGTCAGATGGACCTGGAACGCACTGGCCCAGGCCCCGGGTCAAGGCTCAGGTTTTATTGGGGACTCCAACTTCAACACAGGTTATGAGTGATCAAGCCAAACTCTCGGCCACCTAGTCAGCACCAGCTCATAGCAACTCTAGAGGGCAGTACAGGACTGCCCCCTGTGAGGTGCCAAACCTGTCACTCAACTCTTTATGGGAGTAGAAAGCCCCCCATCTTCCCCCACAGAGCAGCTGGTAGTTTCTAACCGCTGACCTTGCAGATCACAGCCCAACACAGAACCACGGCACCCCAGGGCTCCTGTGTTGTGCATCTGAGAGGGTTACTGATCCACGTTTTTAGGTCGCCCCTTTGAGTCTCCGGCTGCTCCGTGGAGCCCTAAAGAGTGCGGAGGAACCAGTTTCTAACACCATAGCCCCTGAACTTGAATCCCTGGACCTGCTTCACACAGCAGGAACTAGGCAATGTTAGGAGAACAGATAGAGAGACAGTGATCAGGGGACAGGGTGGGATTTGTCCAGGTCACCCCCCTCTCCGACACAGGGCATCTGGCCAGGTCAGAGGC